TATATAAGTTTGGATTACATGTTGAGTCGTCCAATGTCGAGTATTTCCCCATGTTTTATTCTACTTATCTCACGACAGCCTCTCAGGCTAATTTACCTATGATAGTATGATACAAAAGATACGTTATATAGTTACTCGGTTGAGTAAGGTACCGGGTGCCCGTTGCTAACCATCGGTTTGGGTCGTGATAATAATAAGACATATGGGGAATCAAGAACATAAGCATCTCTAGTATTTCTATGAATAGAGTCATTTATGGAAGTGGTGCATTTTCTCGTTTCGTTTGTATCGTATAGATCATGCCAAAAAGAAAGAATGGATAGCCTTAACATACCTTAGTTGATTTTCTTATCAATCCCTTTAACACACCTTAATTGCGACAAAATACGTGACGACAAGATCGGAGTAGGGGAAAAATCCGTATGAAATGCTCGAAGCAATAACGTTGCTATGCAAAGATAATCTTGGCTAAAACTCTTTCTCAATAACGTTGCTATGTTCCTTGGCTGAAAGTCTCTTAAGAGATGAGAAATTCAATTTTGAATTAGAAAAGTTATTTAACCTTTAAGTGGGCTCCACTTGATATGATGACTAATCCATATACTTATCTAAGGGTGCTACATTAATTTATGACTTAAAAGTCATATTTAAGCAAGTTTCTTGGCTGCCACGTTGGGGCCCTTAAACTTTATCCAAAAACTTTGATTTCTTAGTTGATTATCCCATCAAAGTCATTAAATAATCCAATTATCCACAGAATTAGGAATTATCTCAAATTATTTAAAATACTACTCACTTTTAACACACTTTATACATCTTGCTATCATGGTCATATGGTATCTTTTATGGCACTAGTCCATAAATACCGGGTATTATGGCTCGGACCATATTTTATCCCAAAATAGCAAACTTCGACGAAACTCATGTACTTTGATTCGTTTACCCTCTAACCTTAACGAATTTACTTATCACTTGTTTGAAATAACATAATACTTATAACCTCAAAAATAATCTCATTCCCGAGCTTATATCAATTTACTCATGGTGTACTTTCGTGTACGAAAACATGGGGTGTAACAAGTAACTCTCATAGGTCTAGCTTCCTTGAGAATGCAACCAATCTGTCTATCAGTTTCCATATCCAAAAAACTATGGGTGCTTCCTGAATCTAGCAAGATAGTTAGCACTTTCTTTTTGGTTGTTCCACTCAAGGTGATTGTATTTGGAACCTCTGTTCCTGATAAGGCATTAAGGCTAACAGCTTCCTCCACCATTTCTATCTCTTGTGAGTTCTCAATGTACTCTAATTCATTTGGCAGGTCACTTGTTTGTTCTGGCTCTATTGTTTCTTTTTCAGCTATCATTGCATTGAGTTGTTTGCTCTTACATTGATGCCCAGGCACCCATTTGTCCCCGCATTTGTATCATAGATTGTGGTTCCTTTTGATTCCTACATTAGATGTATTACCCTGCCCTTCTCTAGACCAATTATCTTGAGCTCTATTTACTGTTGAATTGTTAGTCTGTATTGTGCCCTTACTCCAAGTGATTTTGCTTTTCTTATTTTGAGCTTCAATAACTTTCTCTTGAAACCTAGCCTTCTCCACAGCCTGACTCAATGCATAAGGGTTGAGCATTTTCACTATGTTCCTAATTTCCTCCTTAAGACCTTCCACAAAGAACTCCAAGAAGAATTCTTCTGGAATAGTAGGTCTTCTAATTAGTACCCAAGTCTTAAGTTCTTCAAACTTTTCCAGATATTCATTAACTGTGCCTTTTTGTTCTAATTATTTGAACTCGCCAATTAAGTTGAACTTACTATTATCTGCTTCTACAAATCTTCTGCAGATTTCTTCTCAGAAATCTTTCCAAGAGATAGATCCATGGCTTACCTAGTATGAGAAGAACCAAGTCTCAACCTTGCCAACTAAGTGAAGAACTACAGCTTCGAGTTTTTGCTGAGGATCCAACACCTGATTGTATTGGAAATATCGCTCACACCTTCGCAGCCATGAACTCCATCGAAGTAAGGGAATTCGAATCTATGATTGAATTGACCCCTTCCATGCGAAGACTCTACTGAATCACCATACTTATGCCGAGCTCCTGATTTTCTAGTTGCAATCCTTCTCTTGGAGCACTCCCCAGGATTCCATCGTGAGCAGGAAGGAGTTTCTCTATTAACAGATCCAGTTTGCTGCTCAAGTCCTCGAACTTCTGGTTCGTCGAGGCCATGTGCTCCTGCAATTGATTCTCCACTCTTTTGATATTTTCTTCAGTAGAATTTGATCTAGTCTCTGTAATTGTCATTTTCTTAAGGCCAAGAAAGAGCTCTGATACAAATTCTAATAATTTGTAATGAAATTCAGAAATAAAATTGTAAATGAGATAATTAAAGGAAGTCAAATGCGATTTATTAGCTCAAATGTATCTAAGTACAATACATTGTAATTGCCATGGCTACACTATTACAAGCTACAATGGCGTTCTGTAGAAAGAGAAAAAGAATTTAGGTGAAAAGAGGAAGAAGAAAAAGAATCAAAAAGAGAGATATAAAGAGAGAAGAGTAGTTAAATCTGATAATTGGCATAACTTATTTTGTTGAGCCTTTCCTTACTAATAGTCTTCTAGAATATTCTCCACTTAATCTCCATCCTTAGATCTTATTAGGATTTATAGTGTGAGCCACATATCTTAAGTGACTATGGATGCTCCTGATGCTGCCAAGTCACCCCTCTTATTCTTTTATCCCTAACCCTACTTTCCATATTCATTTCATTTTCCTTAACTCTTTAGCCGACAACCTTAGGTATTGACAATCAAACACGTAACAAGCACGTCGTTTCCAACAAATAGATAGGAAGAATAAGCTTACTATTTTCAATAATCTAATTACTAAAAAATAATCAAATGTAGAGTTCTTTCTAATATCTTTTCTACGGCGAAATTTAAAAGATACTCAACTTCTACCAAACACAAATTAAGTTAAGTTACTAGTACAAATTGATGTCGTATCACTTTGTTGAGCAAAATCTTCATTAAGATTATCCGCATTAACGGTCGGCCCTACCTCCTTCACTTGAAATAGCCAGGGTCGATAAAGTTGGGGGCATAAAGAGGTCATAAATACTTTTTCTTAAATGTTGTATATATTTTTATTTGAAGCCGACTTTCCTAACTTATTAAGATGCAAAGTTATTAATAACTTTTATAATTACTCTAATAATATATATATATATATATATATATACACACACACACACACACATACATTATTGGTCTTAAGTAAGATTTTTCAATTTCGGTTAGAAATACTTTATTTTGCAGAAACAAATTATTCACACATTCTATAAGCGATATTGATATTTGAAAAAAGAAATATCAAGTCTTTTTATTTGATTAAGTATATTGATCAACATATTATCTTCTACTCGTGTTATTTAACTTGACACTTTTAATTCATAAAATAAGTATAAAACATCAATATAGCGTGACTTTTAGTTTTTAAGAAACTTTCGAGGTTAATGCAATATGTTTTAGATTCTCGTTGCCTAGTGATCTCGTATATTTATCACCAAATAGAAAATTAAATATTCCAATCTATTCCTTTTTTGTTATTTTCTTAAAATTTATTTTAAAATACCCAAATTTTTGATAAATTTAATTTACAAACCTACTACTCCCAGTAAAAATGGCCCCCAAAATTGCCTAAAGCCGGCGATCATTGGAACTGCTCGCCGGATAACTACAGCCGGCACTGAAAAGAGCCCCGTCGACCACCGGCGTCGACGCCTTGATAAAGTTAGATTTACGTAGCTTCCAGCGATAATCGGAACTGCTCGCCAGATAACTACATCCGGCAATAAGGATTTGGAGGTAGGAACATTTTGGGTATTTATGGGCATGATTTGTGTGAAATTTCCTATCAGGGTAAAGTTTAAAAACACACGACTATGTGTTAAATTAACAGGTATAAAAGGTGCAAGGTACACTCGGGAAGAGACTGGAGTTTCGGTTAGCCCATAAATAACCCGACTTTCTGTTGCTAAACCTAATTCACAATGAGAAGAAGCATAGCTCTTTGTTGGAAAGGCCTAAGATCCTACTGTACTGACGCCGGAGATGGCTTTCAGAGCTCCAAACTCAAAATATTTGATCGCCATCTTAAGCGCGTGCAAGTAATTTCATTTACCTCGATTCAACCATAAACAAATTTATTTGTGTAGAAGAATTATTTCTTTAAGAAAAATATCAGTTTCACTTCTCCGTTTATACTGTGCATTTTTAATTTGAGTTTCATGGTTGGCAGCGTGATAGAGCGGCGTGGTTGATGAAGCCCAAAGATTCTCTTGTTGATACTGTGGCCGAGAATCTACTGGATCGGTTAGAGGTATTTAGTTTAAACTTTCTTTTCCCTAGTACTTCTTTTTCCTCTGCAACTATGTTTACTTTTCTGTGAAGTATTTGGTTTATGAGTGTATTTATGTTTCAACCATACTGCAAAATGTTAATGTTTGCATTTTCTGTCCTGATTCATTCCTACTTTGGATATAATTTCTCCTTCCATCCATGTTGAAAGGTTGATAGTCTAGGGGTGTCAAATGGGCGGGTTGGGCCGATTATGGGCGGGTCAAAACGGGTTGAGTCAATAATTGGTGGGTGCCCAAAAGTTACTTGAGCTAAGATAGGATGGTTCAAGATGAGCTAAAATTTGGGTCATAGCCCAACCCGCCCAACTCTTATCAAGCTTTACTTAATACAGTGTTTTTGAGAGCGCGAAGCGCAAAAAAGCGACAAGGGCTCGCCTCGTTTCAGAAGCGAAGCGCACGCTTTATTAAAGTGAAGTGCAATTCTTAAAAAACATAATTTAAAATTATAAATAATCAAAAACTTCAATTTAAAAACTTAAAAGTAGGTACTAGGTACCACCAAATCATCCACAAACCATAGGACAAGCAAAATCAAAGCTACTAAATTACTAGAATCAACATCTTATTCTTCTACTCTTTTTCTTCTTCTTCAAGATTGTCAAAATCTTGAATTCCTCTATTATCTTCATATTGCTCGTCATCTTCTTCTTCCCCCTTCTCTGCGTGATCACTTTCATCTTCATCAATTAGGGATAGGGATCGACTTGTAGTAGCCACACTTTTTCCCTTCCTAATAGAGCTTGAACTTGGAGTATATCTCCCTAAACCATAAGGATTCTCCCCAACTCCACAACCAACCGCAACATCACCCCAAGTGAAATCGGAGTCGCCTTCAAATACTTCTTCATCTTCACAATTTTCGAGGACTCCGGTTAGCCACTCATTAGCCTCATCAATATTGTCCAAAAGAACTGGATCAATTATATTGCGGTGGTTGTAGCGACACCTCAATGCTCTATTGTATTTTATGAACACTAGATTATGGAGGCGCTTCAAGGTTAGTCGATTCTTCTTCTTTGTATGAATCTGCAAACAAGATGTGTCAACTAATTAGTAGGAGTTTGGACAATTGAGATATAATTTACTTTATCTCAAAACACGAAATAATTATTTTTATTTCTCACATGTTCAAAAACACTCCAGTTCCTTTCACATCTGGATGAGCTACAAGTTAAACTTAGAACTTTAATGGCGAAAGTCTGTAACTCCGGAGTCTCTACACCATATTGGTCCCACCACTCAACTATAGAAGTCAAAAAAAATGTTCAAGAGTTAATAAGTATAAAAAATAAATTGAAGTTAGAGCTATAAAATATAGAAACACTTGGTCACCTGGCGACTTCGTCTTTTTTTGTTTAATTGCAAGTCAGAGCTTAAAAAGTCCTTCAGCTGCCTTGTAAGTAGCAAGCTGATCTACTATCTTGACTTGTTTAGGACCACAATTTATTTTTTCTTAAACTCCGTGCCAGTCAAACAGGTTCACATAAATTGGAACAGAGGGAGTATAAAATTAATCAAATAAACTGAAAATATAACATATATATAATTAATTTTATATGCTGAAATATAATAATAACACATATATAATTAATTTATATGCTGAAATATAATAATAAAATGAAATACATATAATGATTAATTTTATATGCTGAAATATACACTAAAATGAGAAGGAAAAAGAAAGAAAAAAAAAGGATACTTACTCTATTCTGGACTGGAGAAAGAAAGAAGAAGAAGAAAGAAAAAAGAAAAAAACGAGAAGAACTGAAGAAGAAAGGAGAAGAAATTACCTGGGTCGAGCCGCGAGCGAGAAGGGTGAAGTGTTCGAGCCTTCGAGGTCAACTGGTCGAGCGACTGAAGAAGATGGAACCCTAGGTTTTGTTTTGAGACCTCTGTTTTTGTCGAAGAAGTTGTTTGTCGAAGGGGATTGGGGTTTTTTGTCGATTTAGGGTCTGTTTTGTCTAATAGAATAACAGACCCAAAGTTTTTTTTTTTAAAAAAAGGCCCCCTCGTGCTTTTTGCACAAAAGCGATCGCTTCATCGCTTTCTTCACTTCCTCGCTTCATCGCTTTTTCCAGTGAAGCGTGCGCTTCCGAAGATCGAGTCGCCTCAAGGAGCTAGAAGCGACACTGTGTCGCGTCGCGTCGCTTCGCGCTTAAAGCGACGAAGCGCGCGCTTTTCTGAACACTGACTTAATATGTGTTGTTTTCTTATGAATTGTATAATTATTAAATAAGATTTTTTTCTTTTGTTATGGTCATATATAACATATCAAACAAAAAGAATTATGTCTAAGATATTTTGGCAAAGTTACTCATGGATCAATTTGGGTTAAAAATCAGTCCAACTTTAAACGGATTGAGATGAGTTGGGTCAAGATGGGTTGAGTTCAATAAATGGCCGGATAAATAACCAGCCCAACCTTGAACGTGTTGGGCAGGTCATTTGGGCTTGGGCCAAATTTGACAACCTTAGTTGACACTGACAAAAAAATTGATAGTGACAACCATTAGGGACGATAGTAATCTCATACCAAAAGAGAGATGAGTGGGAGGACATTATGAGCATAGTTTAAGATCTATAATTTATGGGTGACTTCAGTCGTGCCGTTCTTTAGATAAAGATTAGATGAGCCTATCATATTATGGTTGAGGTGTTATATCCGAATGATGCCTGATTGCTTTTTTTTTTTAATTTGGTGAGTGATACCTAATTACTTAAGTAAATTTCGACAGCCTATGCTTTAATGTACGTCATGTCACTATAATTATTGTTGAAGACACAACTACAATCAGTTTTTGGTTTTGAGAAGATGAAGAGGTAGGTGAAATACTTCCTAATGAGTCGTCTAGAGTCCAACTCATCTGCCTACGGGGGACTCATATGGCTTAGCTTGGGCTAGTTGGCTTGCACATCCTCTAGGATCCTGGACAAGTCAAAGGTGCTCTGAGTGTCATTTGATTCATGGACTAGTTATTTGCGGATTATAATGCATTTATTGTTATGCTGATAATATTATAGGGATTGATGCTGTGAATAATAAGGTAGGAATTGTTATGAGTGATTAAGTGTATAATAATACATCAAATTGTTACAATAAAAAAATAATACATCAAATTGTTATGCAGTGATTACCTACTTTAAGGGTATTTTTTTCCTCTAGATACTCTTATTGGTTTATTGCCAATACATGTATTATTTCACATTTTATTTCGTATATAATACATAGATTCACCAATAAGTTATGCCAATATTAGTAATGCACAGTGTTTAGAAAGGCGCGCGCTTCGTCGCTTTAAGCGCGAAGCGACGCGACGCGACCTATTGTCGCTTCCAGCACACTGAGGCGACTCGATCTGAGAAAGCGAGCGCTTCACAGGAGAAAGCGATGAAGCGACGAAGCGGATAAAGCGATGAAGCGATCGCTTCTTTCCAGAAAAGCGCAGGGGGTCTTTTTCTTAAAAAAAAAAACTTTGGGTCTGTTATTTTATTAGACAAAACAGACCCTAAATCGACCAAAAACCCCTTCCCCTTCGACAAAACAGAGTTGACTCACAAAACCTAGGGTTTTTTACCTGCTGAAGCTGAAATCCAAAAGCAGAGACGCCATTGCTGACACTTTCTCTCTCGCTCGAGTTCTCCTTTCTTGCTCGCGACACTCGCCATTGCTGACCCAGGTAATTTCTTCTTCTCCTTTCTCCTTTCTTCTTCTGTTCTTCAGTTCTTCTCGTTTTTTTTTTCATTCTTCTTCTTCTTTCTTTCTTTCTTTCTCTGTTTCTCCGGTCCATAATAGAGTAAGGACTAAGGAACAATTTTTTCTTTCTTTTTCCTTTTCATTTGTGTATTTTTTCAGCATATATATTTAATTATTATATGTATTTCATTTATTATTATATTTCAGCATATACAATTAAATTATTATTATATTTCAGCATATAAAATTAAATTATTATTATATTTCAGCATATAAAATTAATTATATATATGTATTAGTTTTAGTTTATGTAATTTTTTAAATGTATATTTCAGTTTATATAATTAATTATTATATATATTATATGTATTTTCAGTTTATTGATTATGTTTTTTCTTATATCTTAATAGGAATATTAAAATGTCTCAAAGTTCGAAAGAGAAAGACCCGGCTTGGAGCTATGGTGAGAGAGTTAATGAGAAGAATACAAATGTTGTATGCAAGTTTTGCAACAAGATTACAACGGGTGGCATTTATCGCTTTAAATACCATCTAATTGGTGGCGATAGAAACGTCACAAGTTGTCCGAAATGTCCACCGGAGGTGGGGGAAGAAATAAAGAACTTTTTTGAGAAGAAGAAGGAGCAAAAAAATCAAATGGTTCATCAACCAATGGTGACCAATCTTGATGATGATGATGATGATGATTATATTGAAGAATTGTCACTTCCAACAAAACGGGGAAGAGATGGGTCAAGCCATGGATCATCGACTAAAGGTCCTATCTTGCTACTTCTCAAAGAAGCCGGGAGCAAAGGGCGGTGGAAAAGATGTACAAAAAATTGCTAAAGACATTTTGAGGGATCGTGCAGTTAGAGCTTTTGCACGATGGGTCTATGATGCTGGGCTCCCCTTCAATTGTGTCAACTATGACACTTTTGGAGACTTTATTGAGGTCGTTGGTCAATACGGACCTGGAATGAAGCCTCCCACTTACCATGAAATAAGAGGTCCTTATCTAAATAAGGAAGTGGAGGAGACTAATAAAATTGTTGAGGAGCATAAAGTTGTGTGGAACAAGTACGGCTGCTCCATTATGATGGACAAGTGGACGGCGAGAACGGGGAAAATGATTATTAATGTGTTGGTGAATTCTCCCCGGGGAAGTTTGTTTCTTGAGTCCATTGATGCTAGTGACTCATCCACCGACCACATCAAAATGTTCACCTTGTTTCAGAACACTATCGAAAAGATTGGTCCAAGCAAAGTTGTTCAAGTGGTCACTGATAATGCAAGTGAAAATGTGAAAGCGGGTGGCATGATTGAAGGAGCGTACAAGAATGTCTATTGGACTCCATGTGCGGCTCATTGTATCAACTTGATGTTCGGGGATATTTTCAAGGAAAGACCCTTCTCTACAGTTTTTGGCCAGGGCGTTAGATTACATTCTTATATTTGTCAGCGGCCCTTGTTATTGAATATGATGAGAAGATTCACCATGCAAAAAAATTTGGTGAAACCGGGCAAGACAAGGTTCGCCACTGCTTTCTTGACTTTGCGTAGTCTCCACTGTCAAAAAGACAATTTGAGAAAGATGGTCACTTCAGAGGAATGGAGCAGGAGTAAATTTGCAAAGGAAAGTGCGGGGAAAGAGGTTGCACGCATTATTCTTTCTTATTCTTTTTGGAATAATGTCCTTCATGCTCTTAAAATTGGTGGCCCTTTGGTTAAAGTACTCCGTTTGGTAGATGGGGAGGCAAAACCATCAATGGGCTACCTCTATGAAGCTATGGATAGGGCCAAGGAGACTATTCAAGCATCATTCAGTGATGAGCAAAAATATGCAAAGGTCTTTCAGATCATTGATGCAAGATGGGATGAGCAACTTCATAGACCTTTGCATGCAGTTGGACTTATTCTGAACCCATCACTCTTTTATGAGCAGCATGAGAAGAATTCATTGGCTAAAGAAGTGTGGACAGGATTCCATCAGGTTGTTATCAAGTTGAACCCAGATGAAGACTTGCAAGAAAAGATAGTAGATCAGCTTGCTACTTACAAGGCAGCTGAAGGACTTTTTAAGCTTCGACTTGCTATTAAACAAAGAACGACGAAGTCGCCAGGTGACCAAGTGTTTCTATATTTTATAGCTCTAACTTCAATGTATTTTTTATACTTATTAACTCTTGAATATTTTTTTTGACTTCTATAGTTGAATGGTGGGACCAATATGGTGTAGAGACTCCGGAGTTACAGACTTTCGCCATCAAAGTTCTAAGCTTAACTTGTAGCTCATCCGGATGTGAAAGGAACTGGAGTGTTTTTGAACACGTGAGAAATAAAAAGAATTATTTCGTGTTTTGAGATAAAGTAGATTATATCTCAATTGTCCAAACTCCTACTAAATACTAATTAGTTGACACATCTTTTTTGCAGATTCATACAAAGAAAAGGAATCGACTAACCTTGAAGCGCCTCCATAATCTAGTGTTTATAAAATACAATAGAGCATTGAGGCGTCGGTACAACCACCGCAATATAATTGATCCAATTCTTTTGGACAATATTGATGAGGCTAATGAGTGGCTAACCGGAGTCCCCGAAAATTGTGAAGATGAAGAAGTATTTGAAGGCGACTCCGATTTCACTTGGGGTGATGTTGCGGTTGGTAGTGGAGTTGGGGAGAATCCTTATGGTTTAAGGAGATATACTCCAAGTTCAAGCTCTATTAGGAAGGGAAAAAGTGTGGCTACTACAAGTCGATCCCTATCCCTAATTGATGAAGAGGAAAGTGATCATGAAGAGGAGGGGGAAGAAGAAGATGACGAGCAATATGAAGATACTAGAGGAATTCAAGATTTTGACAATCTTGAAGAAGAAGAAGAAGAGTAGAAGAATAAGATGTTGATTGACTTCTAGTAATTTAGTAGCTTTGATTTTGCTTGTCCTATGGTTTGTGGATGGTTTGTGGATGATTTGGTGGTACCTAGTACCTAATTTTAAGTATTTAAATTGATGTTTTTGATTATTTATAATTTTACATTATGTTTTTTAAGAATTGCGCTTCACTTTAATAAAGCGTGCGCTTCGCTTTGCGCTTCGCTTTTGAAGCGAGGCGAGCCCTTGTCGCTTTTTTGCGCTTTGCGCTCTCAAAAACACTGGTAATGCAGAATTCAATGCCAAAAATCAAAAGCTGCATTAGTGGTGTTATGCTGAAAACTAAATGATGTATTAGGTATGCAGAGATTTCATTAGTATGCGTAGGTAAATATGGCAAACAAAGTGTTGGACACGAAATTTATGCTAGGATTGTTTTTCCTTATGCTCCCAGATGAATGACCCCTAATAGTGAGATGCCATGGATCTGTTCCCACAGAAAAGAAAAATAAAGATTCTAAGAGTTTCTTGTTGATATACATTAATCAACTGCCTAAAAGCATTAATTGTGCTTTGATAGTGTAACTTTACATCTTTTTGTGTTTGCAGGATTGTAAGAGAACATTTCCAACGACATTGTGTATGGGGGGTTCTCTGGAAGCTATCAGACGGTTATTGCGCGGACGTGGTGAGAAAAAAGTTTCTTGAGGCACATGTTTAAGTATTGTTTCCTAACATTACTTAGTTTTGACTTCTCAATTCAAAATTTTAATATTTAACATATTTTATGAAAAGATCAAGCTTTCGTTTTGGTAACAAAATTGTGAAGGAAATAATGCAATTTTAGTCAGTTAGACGGAAGTGAGGCTGAGATGGTTTGAGCATATGAAGAGGAGTAGCACAGATGTCCTTGTGAGGAGGTGCGAGAGGTTGGCGGTAATAGTTCTAAGGAGAGGTATAGTTAGACTGAAGAAGAATCGGGGAGAGGTGATTATACATGGCGCGACACATCTTCAGCTCAACGAGGACATGACCCAAAATAGGGGAGCATGGAGGTCAAGGATTGGGGTAGAAGGTTAGTGGGTAATCGAGCGATTTCTCCCTTCTCGGTTGGAGAGCATGGTTGTAGTTTGGAGCACCTAATATGCCCCCTCTGCTCCTTATCAGTATTATTAGTGTTATTCGATTGCTAACTTATTCCCCCGAGAGCATGGTTGTAGTTTGGAGCACCTAATATGCTCCCTCTGCTCCTTATCAGTATTATTAGTGTTATTCGATTGCTAACTTATTCCCCAATTTTATTACCACTGTTGTTTCCTTTATTTTGGTTGTCTTACTACAATCCTACTATTACTACTGTTTTTTTATTGCTTTGGTTATCCTACTACTGATCTTCTCCTTGTTCTCCAATTTTATTGCTAATGTTTTTCTTTAATTTGTTTTGAAAGTGCTTTTCTTGAGCCGAAGGTCTATTACATATAACCTCTCTAGCTTACACAAGGTAAGAGTAACGTCTGCGTATACTCTACTCTCCCCAGACCCCACTTGTGGAATCATACTGGATATGTTATTGTTGTTATTGTTGTTCTTGTAGTGTAGGAGTAGTTAAACATGTCTTACGTGATGGAAGTTATGAAAATTATACTAGCTTGAAGAAGTTACTTCTTTGGACTTTTAACTTCTCGGTGTTGTATACTTGATTTTATAGGGTTGCCCTATCTAATAAATTGTTTTTCTTTAAGAAGAATGAAAGTGAAGCATAATTAGATGGAATTTTGGTGCCGTAATTTAATGGTTCAACTATCTAGGCTTAATTTACTAGAGAATGATAGATGATGTAGTAAAGAGCATGAAAATAGGAAAGCTGAAATGGAGGAGTACTATGGGATTGCTATACGATAGGACGATACCTGACACAGTGAAAGGTAACATTTATTGAACTGTGGTGAGACCTTTAAATGTGAAAATATAGGAATAAATTTGAGATTTAGAGGACCTCTAGTTTTTGATAATGTCCTATGTTCCTGAGAAAGTATATTATTTATAAGCATGGAATGATTTGGGCCCGAACAGAGTAGAATATTTACAAAGGATT